GCTGGAACGAAAGTCGTGGAAGACATCAGAGGGCAGCCCCTTCGTCATGACGTCAGCGAGCTGCTGGCGCGTGGGAACGTGCAGGACGCGGAAGTTGCCAAGCGCCACACGTTCGCGCACGAAATGAATGTCCAATTCGATGTGCTTGGTGCGCCGGTGATGCACGGGGTTGCTGGAGAGATACACCGCCGAGATGTTGTCGCAGTAGACGAGCGACGCCGTGTTGACGGTGCAATGAAGCTCGCGAAGAAGTTGGCGCTGCCAGACACACTCCGCGTCGGCATTGGCGTCGGCACGATATTCGGCCTCCGCGCTAGAGCGCGAGACGGTGGCCTGGCGTTTGGGCGACCAGGACACGAGTGCGTCGCCGAGGAAGATGCAGAAGCCGGAAGTAGAGCGGCGGGTGTCCGGGCAGCCAGCCCAGTCCGCGTCGGTGTACGCACGGAGCTCCAGAGTCGACGAAGCACGCAGGGCGAGGCCGAGGGTGACCGTGCCGCGGACGTAGCGGAGCACGCGCTTGAGGAGAGCGCGATGACACTCGCGCGGGTCGTGCATATGGAGGCGGACTTGCTGGACGGCGTAGGCGAGCTCGGGACGGGTGATGGTGAGGTATTGCAGCGCTCCGGCGAGGCTTTTGTAGGAGGTGGGGTCGGAGACGCGGGGCCCGTTGGACGACGGGAGCTTGGCCTTGGTGTCAACTGGTGTAGGCGCAACCTTGCAAGTGTCCATGCCCGCACGCTCGAGGATGTCCTCGGCGTACTGGGCCTGCGAGAGGAAGAAGCCAGCAGCGGTGCGCGTCACCCGTATGCCAAGGAAGTAGTGGAGCGCTCCCAGGTCCTTCATGGAAAACTCGTGCGTGAGTTTGGCGATGATCCTTTGAAGGAAGGCAGCCGAGCTCGCCGTGAGGACGATGTCGTCCACATAGAGCAGTAGATAGGCGGCGTCGGCGCCGGACGCGAGGATGAAGAGGGAGCTGTCCGAGCGTGTGGTGGTGAAGCCGAGGGTGGCGAGGAAGCTGGCGAAGCGAAGGAACCATGCGCGCGGCGCTTGCTTGAGCCCGTAGAGGGACTTGGTGAGCCGGCAGACGTGGTCGGGTTTGCTCGCGTCGACAAAACCTGCAGGCTGCAGACAGAAAACTTCCTCCTGGAGTGTGCCATGCAAGAAGGCGTTCTTGACGTCGAGTTGCCGAACGGGCCACCCACGGGAGGCGGCGAGGGTGAGCACAGTGCGAATGGACGCGGACTTCACGACAGGGGAGAAAGTCTCGCCGTAGTCGACGCCGGCGCGCTGGCGAAACCCGCGGACGACCCACCGCGCTTTGTAGCGCTCGAGGGAGCCATCGGAGCGCGTCTTGTGCTTGAAAACCCATTTGCCGGTGATGTTAGCGCGCGGAGGGCGGGGCACCAGCTCCCACGTGCGGTTGCTGACGAGCGCAGCGAACTCCTCGCGCATGGCGGAGACCCAGTTCGGATCGCGAAGAGCATCGCGAACGGAACGGGGAAGCGGAGAGACGTCCGGCGAGGTGTTGATGGAGGCGACGCAGACGTAGTCGTCGGCGTAGCGCATGTACGGACGGAACACACCAGCCTGAGCGTGCGTGGTGATCCGCGAGCCGCTAGCTGTGGATGAAGAAGAGCTGGCGGGGACGACCGCGCGCTGCACGGGAGCGGCCGGATTTAAATCAGGGCCGCCTGATGCAGATCCGTCGGTGCAGCTTAAACTTGAAGGAGTGGCGCGCGATGAAGGCGAGGCAGAGCCATTGGATGCCGATCCGGCGGCGCAGCTTAAACCTGGAG